GAGAGAGCTGCGCAAACATTCTTGTCAGTATTCAGGTCTACTCGCTGGCATGCCGTTACCCTGTTCATCGTAGCCCCCCCCCCCCCCCCCCCTTCCCAATCTGTACTCTCTTGTACCATCATTAGGCCCCGGCGGATAATGCTAGCATTATATCTAGCATATTTAGCACTTTCTGGAAACTAGCATTGCACTAGCATAATCAGCAGGTTTTGCAGAAAACTAGCATTATTCTTGCGAAAACTAGCATATTGTTGCAAAACATTGGATTTTCAACTGTGTTCGCATCCGGAAACACTGGTTCACTTCAAATCTTCAATGTGTAGCCCTCTACTACTTGAACTTGTACATGTACCATGTACATGTAGTAGATCTATGACTCTGGCTGGGAGTCTGGGCACAAGCGTTGGGAAAACAAACTTGTGATGGGTGTACATGAGAAGGCGGTGGAGCGTTTTGTTTCCACCAACGTTTGCCGCTTATTATTCTTTGTTAGCTGATGAAGAACACACGTCATGGCTATGTCCGAGCAAGCAGTAGCGATGATCACTTTGATTCCGAGTTTGACGATGAAGACGCCTCAGAATCAGAGTCCGAAGAGGACGAGGTCAGGACAGCGTGTGAACGTCTTCCCGAACCAGCCAGAGTAGCGATTTCCCGAAAACGATCTTTCCAGAGAAGTGGGAAAGAGTCCGTAGCTAAGCGTGGGCGAATTGCCGGTGGAAGTTTCACAGTGACACCTCGTGGCAGCGTCCACCATCGCCTGCAGCAATTATTTCCAGGGGAATATTTGACCGTGTCCAGTGGGAAGATTTACTGCAGTGCTTGCAGCCAGACAGTTCAACCGAAGAACAGCATTGTGAAATCACACATTTCGAGCCAAATCACAAGACGGCCAAAGAGCGAAAGTCACGAGCCCAGCTACACCAGCAAGCGCTAACAGCTTCGTGGGAGAAGTACTCTACAGACCATAAGAAGGAGCTGGCAGGAACAGTGCTATCTGGTGATGTAGCCAATGATGTCCTCATTCGAAGAGCCAACGTTGTAGAGTCTTTCCTCAAAGCAGGTGTGCCTCTGAGTAAGATAGGCCACCTTCGTCCGTTGCTTGAAAGCAACTACTGTCGCATGCCGTACAGCGCTCACATGGCACATTTGGTGCCATTCCTGTTGCAGAATGAGCAGTCTACTATCAAGAAGGAGATTGCATCTGCAGCTCATCTCACTGTTATTTTCGATGGTACTTCACGCTTTGGTGAGGCACTTACTGTTGTCCTCCGCTACGTCGATGGCGATTTCAACATACACCAACGCCTTGTACGTAATCGTTTCTCTGTACTGTCCAAAAGCCTGGCTGGTACCGAACTAGCTCGAGAGCTCATCACAGTTTTGTCGACACAGCTGCAAGTTCCAAGCCACACGGTTCTTGCCTTGGTCCGAGACTGTGCAGCTCTTAATGGTGTTGCTGTTAGGGTGGTAACAGATCTTTTTGACCCCATATAAAGTGGCATTAAATTGAGCATAACGAGCATGACGAGCATTAAAACTAGCATAATGTGCCACTTTTACTAGCAGTGCTAGTAGCATAATTGCCGAAAATAACTAGCATTATCCGCCGGGGCCTAACCATCATCCTTCAATGCGACGGACCCCACGATAGGCGGTCAGCCTTTGGGTCATCCTAATAAAGTTATTATTATTAATATTATTATAACGCGCACGACACAGTACAGAAAAATGAGAGTCATCATACACACTAAGACAGTCAGGACGAGATAACAAGTGTAGATACATAGCTGACTTCTTACGATCAACACATTCATCCGCCTCATCTCGCTCCTTCCCACCCGACTCCTCCTCGTCCATCTCATCATCCTCTTTCTCGTTCCGCTCGTTATCCTCACGATCATCATCACTACCATCATCTGCCTCGTCCTCTGTCTCCTCACCAACCGTTTCGTCATCCAAAAGCCTTCTCGCCTTTGGTTACGTAATCTTGTTACCTTTTTGCGTTTCCTCTAGTGGTTTTATTGCACTTGTATCTTGTTGTTATTTCTAACACCTTTCTATTTACAGTACTTAACTTCAGTTTCTTTGGTCGTATCCTTAGTTCCGTATTTTTCCCACTGATGATAGGAACAAGACTACAATCGATTATGGGTTTTCAATAATATTTTTGTTATAAGGCCAAGTAAAAAAAAAAGCTAGATGATCGTCCCCGTCCGCCCCAGTTTTTGTCAGCGCCCCAAGAAATATTTTATTTTTTAAATCGTGAGTTTTTGCCGAAATCGTTGGTTTTTTACCGATCGCGGATGCAGGAAACATGTGCACGCTTTGTTTAATACTTTCTTTACTATATGGACCACATACTACTAGTATATCACAACGTCAGTATCGATCTGCTGAAGAAAGAAAAAGAAAAAAAGAAAAAAAAAGAAAAAAAGAGAAAAAAAACCTTGATGTTGTTGTGTACACTGTGTGCATGAGAGGGTAAAAAGTAAAAAAATAAAAATAAAATCCTCCCGCCCTCCCCGATTTTTCCAAAAAAAAGGACGATCATCTAGTAATTTTTTTTACTCGGCCTAAAATACACAGTAAATACATGTCAAACAAGTAACCATGGTAACGTAGTTGCGTGATGTCTGCGGCCTTCATCCTATTCATAGCTATAATTTAATATCATAATTATACAATGTCATGTACATGTACATGCGCATACTGTACTATAGTATGCACATAGTCATTACATGCACCGCATCACGTGCATGTACACGTGTTCACTTGCAGTTCAAAAATAATTCTGCGGGACAGGCAGAAACATAATCATGATAATAGGAAACAGAAACTTTACGTCTCTACTCTCCCATTCAGAATTGTAAAGTTGTTAGAATTTTCATCCTGCGCTGGGGAAGGCTAATTGCTGAAGCTAGTCGGATCAGCTATTTATGATTATGAGGGCTTCTCCATGAGTCCTTCGGCCCCCCATTGGATATGGAGGTTTGTAGCTTGGTGGTTTCGGACTTGATTTCTTCCAGGGGAGATACGCGGTTATCATTCTCTGTCTCTGTCATTCTCCAGGTTATCAAAAGAAAGAGCGCGCTGATCATTGTTGATGTGCAGAACGACTTCATATCTGGGAGTCTAGCAGTTCCAGGTGGCGAGAAGGTCGTGGACGTGTGCAACCACCTGCGGGACAGAGGAGATTTTTCAATGGTGGTCGTGACACAAGACTGGCATCCGTCGACTCACATCTCGTTCGCACGAAACGCCCAGAACTTTGTTCTGGCGGATGAAGTGGATGTATGTACAATGTAATGTTGTACAGCTATGATGTCTTTCTACTCAGTCGATCGATGTACTACTACTAGTACGTAAAAATGTTGCAGAAGTACATGTGCCCAACAAAATCAAGATCGACATTTGCACCGACTACTGGCCATTCAGTGGACACTGGCACCATAAAATTTAAACACACATAAATACAACACATAACATTGGGTTCGAACCGGCACTATCGCCCTGCATGCACTCCCTCGATACACTTTGCATACATACACATTCTACCAAGTTGCTTCACGTTATGATCCTGCCATTGAAAGCCCTATTTGAATATGGTGGCCAGCTGTCTTTGACAGTACGGTACGAGACATATGGAATAGCGCCAGGCATACCCGACGACACACACACACACACACACACACACACCGATGCGAAATAACGTGGTGTGGACCCTGGCTAGCGCCAGCCGCTACTAAAGGAACGTCTTTTGCATAGCTCCGGGTTTGTAATGTTCATTACACCCTGTCTCTTCACGGGGTTTTTTGAAACTGTGCTCCGATTTTTTTGTACGGTAATTTCTCGAAAGTGGCCTTGTGTATGTTTTCAGCAACATTGCGGGCCAGTTTCCAATGAACGGACTGTAGAAATGTACATACATATACACGCATGTACATGTATTCCAAAAATTTGGGCCGAGTGATCTCTCCTGCCGTTTCCCCCTTACAGTTCGTTCGAAGCAAGGAAATGCTGTATAGGAAGGGCTTACAAAGAGGCTTGTTATGCAGTGCGTGCACATGAGAGAGTATTGGCATCCAGGTTGACAACACAAGACCAACGTGCCGGAAACGAGGTTCGTTTCCGCCCCCTGACCTGACAGTTCTATGCTATCCGCGGTGCATGAAACACACGCTGTGACCTGCCGACAACCGAATACGGCCCAGAATATTGATGACATTCCGGCGCTCGTATATCAGCCTTGCCCGTGGGTGATTGGAACAGGCAGCCCCGGAGCCAAGCTGACATCGTTTCACGTTCCACTTGCTTGCGTCGTCTCCGTAGATACCGCGACTCCCTGGTGTATGTGGGCACGCGTGACCTCAGCAGTAAGCACACGTCAGTGGCCAAAAAGTAGCGTTGGTGCGGTATTGGCCTGACCAACCGGACTGGTTCCGGCGGGCTCGAGTGTGAACGCGAGAGTGGTTGGCCGTAACGGTTGACGGTGTCAAGTAGTGCATGCTGTCTGACCCGTCTTGTCTCTCTTTCTGGTTTGTTGCAGGGAGCTGCAGTGTGCGAGTTCTCCACAGTGTCCTTCTCGGATCCTCCGCTGGACGGTGTGAGTGTGTTCCCGGTGCACTGTGTAGCCGATACCTGGGGTGCAGAGCTGCACAAGGACCTGCAGGTATGTCTGGCTGTGCGCGGCACGCATTCGCATGTGTGGGTGGGCGGGAGTGGGTGTGGGGCGTGTGTGCATGCCTGTGTGTGTGGGGGGGGGGGGTGTGTATGTGTGTACCGTAATCGCTCAAAAAATAGTGCCCTGGGGGCACTTTCTTTAAAGCCCATCCCAGACGGGGCACTTTTCAAGACGGGATTCTATTCAAGAGAGGGCACCATTTTTTTTTCAATGCTAGTACATGTACATGTATGTAATCCAGCACTGCCTTCTGTGTGTACAAGAAGGCAGCACAAAGAAGGCAAACAAGAGCAGAGTCTAAAGTTCACGCTCAACTATCACAACTCTACGGAAACTGCAGCAAGAACTGTGATTTTGTGATTGGTCCTGAAACCACCAGCGCAATGACATGGACAAGAACATTAGCAAAACAACATCTAACTTGCACATGTGCTTGATTACAAGATTTCTGCAAATGTTGTGCGAAATTTGTAAATTCGGCAAAAATAGCAACGATTTCTCTCCTTTTTTAACCACTGTTTTCGGCCAGTTTTTCGGCTGACCGATTTGGGAAATGCCTGGGGGCACTATTCAAAAGAGTGCTCTAATCGAGCGTCTTCAGTGTGCGTGTGTGTGTGTGTGTGTTTATGTGTGTGTGTGTTTCTGTGTGTGTGTGTGTGTGTGTCTATGGTGTGGTGTGGGTTGTGTATTTGTAGTTATGTTCACTTCCTGGCTACCCTAGTAAAGCGGGATTCACAGAAGCTTTTTTTTGCGATGCGATGGGCAGCGTGCGATGCGAACTCGCGAAATACCAGTCACAGGAGAAGTTATCGGTGCGACGTCGCCTTGCTGATTTGGCGCGAAGTTCAATGCTGGTGAGCACATCTCCATGGTTTTCGCGCGGCTTTGTACAACTTGTACAAATCTACAAGCAACTCCTGAACCGTGTACACCTTTGCTGCAGGAAAGGTCGACATCGTACACCGCAGCGCATCATGAAAGTTGAGCCAAGCTCAACTTCTGCGATGGCCCAGTTGCGGCAGTTGCGTGACCTGCGAGATGGATGCGATTTGGGGATTTATGTGTGTGTGTGTCTTCATGTGTACATGTGTGTCCAACTGACTGTCAATGCACATATGTGTGTCCGCGTGTATTTGCATGTCCATGTGTGTGTGTGTGTGTGTGTGTGTGTGTGTGCATGTCCACGTGTGTGTGTGTGTGTGTGTGTACACGTATGTGCATGTGCACATGCACACCTGTCCTCAGGTCCGGTCCAGCGACGTTACGGTGCGCAAGGGCTCGCACACCGAACGCGAGTCCTTCTCGGCGTTCGCAGATAACACACAGCTGTCGGAGACCCATCTGGCCAACACGCTGCGCCATGCCAGCATCACCGATGTCTTTGTTTGCGGGCTGGCCTATGATGTCTGCGTGAGCTGGACGGCTCGCGACGCCGTGCGACGCGGCTTTCGAACGTTCTTCGTGGAGGATGCGGCCGCCGGTGTGGAGGCAGGTGAAATGTCACGGATGAAACAGGAGCTGGCACAGCTTGGTGTTAGTTTTGTCCAGTCCGATGAGGTAGGTGCCAATGCAGAACATGATTTACATTGGACTACTGTTGGTCAACAAAATTTAATATTCGACGCCTATTTATTTTCGGCCTGGGCATTTTTGGCCGAAAATTTGTTGCGACCGGAATTTTGTTCTGCAAGGTTCAGTGTGACAGTGTATACAGGCAGCACCAGTACAGGCCGACATTTTAATGCGTCCGAAATGAGTTTTAGTCCTGGGAGGCCGAAATTTCAACACGCCGAAAATTTGTAGATTTACAGTATCCTAGAGTTTGGAGTCTAACCTGGTAGGGTGTGATTGTTTTGGGGGCTGTGTGTCATAGTGCTGTGGCCACCAAGGTAGGGTGTGATTGTTTGGGGGGCTGTGTGTCATGGTGCTGTGGCCACCAAGGTAGGGAATTCGTCATCGCTATGGTGATTACCACTGGCTAGTCATGATGGCACTCATCATAGCAGATAGCAGATGCTGCTGATCGCACTTCTGTAGAGTCATGTACGTGTGTGTGTGTGTGTGTGTGTGTGTGTATATATATGTGTGTTTGTATAAAGCCTGTCTTGTATAGAAGCCTGTTTTGAAGACAAGCCTGATTTTTCAAGATTCGCTGTCGGCACATCAGCATGTCTTTAGTGTTGATATACATAGATATACCTGACTTAAACAGAATCCTAGCACTGACGACGGCTTCTACAGGAATATGCCAGGCTTTAATACGTGACATTACGATATGTGTGTGTGTGTGTGCGTGTGTGTGTGTGTGTGTGTGTGTGTGTGTGTGTGTGTGTGTGTGTGTGTGTGTGTGTGTGTGTGTGTGTGTGTGTGTGTGTGTGTGTGTGTGTGTGTGTGTGTGTGTGTGTGTGTGTGTGTGTGTGTGTGTGTGTGTGTGTGACGGATACCCTGATGCCGTCAATCCTTTTTCTGCACCTTGTCCTCACCCACTTACTGAGGTGTGGTGAGCCCATAAGTGGGATCATTTTCAAGTCCACCCAGAGTTTTGGGGATTTCAGGGGGTGTCGGCCGTTGGGCGGTTCAATAGCCAATTGAGTCATCTTTCCAAGATTCCTTTTGAGTCTCTCTCCCCTCTCCCGGGGAGACCCACGTGACCAGTTTTGGCAGTGAGCAACAAGTACAAGTAAGTACAAGTGTGTGTGTGTGTGTGCGTGTGTGTGTGTGTGTGTGTGCGTGTGTGTGTGTGTGTGTGCGTGTGTGTGTGTGTGTGTGTGTGCGTGTGTGTGTGTGTGTGTGCATGGACACACGGATTTCAGTCAGTTAGGATGAACTTGTGTCTCTTGCTAAACCATTACATGTACATGTAGTTTTGATTTGCATGGCAGCAGGCAGCATACAGTCGACTTTGCTATTAACGACTGCGGATATAACGACAATTCGCGAATAACGACAGAATTTCCATGCCCAGAGCAAAGTCCCATCGAACTGTAATACATAATGATATAATGACTGAGACTCCGGTTATAAGGACACTACGCGAATAAGGACAATTTTCTGCCGCCGAGTGTCGTTATATGCAAATGTGACTGTAGTGCGTAACACTTGACGTATTGTTGTGGACATTGAAATCCGTTGAGGAGTCAAGGAGCCACGGGGCACTGGCCTTGCAGCCGCGAGAACTGCTGGTCCATTTTACAGTGTGCTTGTGAAGTACAGTGCGTGTACGCGCTAAACGCAGTAGACTCGCCGGCCCCGGGTCATCCCATCGGATTTCAATGTCCACGACAGTAGGCTGCTGAACATGCACTGCTTGCCCAAATTTCGGTACCTACATGTGTGTGTGTGTGTGTGTGTGTGTGTGTGTGTGTGTGTGTGTGTGTGTGTGTGTGTGTGTGTGACTTTTCACTTTCAATGCAGTGAAAACATAATGCGCTTGTCATTAGTACTCTGTATGGTTGGGTAGACAATGGCAGTTTGCCGACGAGCCCAACCAGTCCACTGCACGCACTGTAGTTGTCGGGCTCTTTTCCTTTCCGTAACGTTCTGCTCTGTGCTTGCTTGTTAACTTCAGGTTCCAGGACTGTTGGCAGAGGCAGCATAGACCTAGGTGATCCTACCCAGCGTGTTGTGACTCAAGATTCAATGACTCCTGGTGCGATCGTGCCCAGCTTGCTTTGATCAAATGACTTCCAGAAGAGAAATTTAAACTTAGAGAAATCAGATATTTACCTTTCTAGTTATATCCATGCCTGTAATATTTATCCAGAATAATCAGCACCGTTCATCGAGAAAGCCATCAACAGTATTCAGAATTTATATTCTACGTGACCCAGCAGGTCAAAGTACGCACCCATCATGTATTCTTAGCCCTCTGGGGGTATTTTCTAATTAGGGTGTACAGCCCACGCAGCAGTGCTGTCCACCAATATTTGTATAGGCTGTGCTCTCTGCTGTGCAGGCACTTCTTACTCGTTGTGTCTCTTGCTCTTCGCCAATTTGTTGACCAACTCTGTTGGCCCGTAACTACTAGCCTTCATATCGCCCGGGCCGTTACTTCTTGTGCGGCTCTCTCTCTCTCTCTCTCTCTCTCTCTCTCTCTCTCTCTCTCTCTCTCTCTCTCTTTCTTACTTTCTCTCTCTTGTTTGTTTGGTTTCTGTAGAAAGGACTATCCCTTTTTTCTATATTTTATTGGGAGGAAGACATCTTTGTCAGCTTGTGCTCAGCTCTACTGCGTGAAGTAAATTATCTTTCCATGCTGTCATGGTGATCTTCGCTTTCTCCGCTTTTTTCTGTCCATATTTTCAGCTTTCTGACCCCGTGTTTCCTTATTATCTTACACGTTCTCAGGCAGTCACTGGAATCCTTGCTTCAGCCTTATTCTATCAAATTTCTGTATTATTATGTTGGAATTGTCCCACAGCGAACCATTGTGGAGATCTATTGCCTAGTTTGTGGGATGTGTTTGCGTGCACACTGTTGTTGTTGTTGTTGGTGCGAGACGAAAGCCATCCAGCATGGAAACATGCTCAAGATGCTGGGCATGGAGTGCGAAAAGACTGACTCTTGTGCTGGAACACGCAGCTATCTGTGACTCTTTGCTGGAACACGCAGCTATCTGCAAGTGTACAGTCATGTAGATATCATAGCTGGTCTCTTGTCTTGCCACACTTGTTTCCTGCTCTGTGTGTACCAGGGAGTACAAAAACCCGGTTTTTAGCTGCATGATCCGCCACCCTGGTATCACAGGCATGGTGGTGGCCTGGCACGAGCGAAACTTCCTAAACTGGTTTTGTTTCTCAACACAATTGTATTGCCTGTTGTAACACGGACGTGCAAACTTACAACTACAATAATGAATATGGCTATGTGTATATAATTATTATGGTGTACAAGTTAGTTCGGCTGCGTGCGCTGTAAGCTTCCATGATCAGGACTGGATTTTCCTGATACAGTAACAACAGTGAAGACTGCTCTCTTATTCAATACCCGACTCGACAGCCGTTTGTTCTGTACGATACAAAAAATAGCCTGCGACTGGTGCATGGTGGACGGCCGCGAATAGTTTGTACGCGGCACACACCTGAAAAGGTTTTGCCTTGAGTGGCCGGATTCCGGCTGAGTCCCAGTCCCCCTCGGATCTCCGCCGCAACACGCATGGTGCAAATTGTGTATGCCAGGATCGAGTGCAGTAAGAACAAATGTTAAAACTTTAAAGTGTACTCCGCCTGGCATGTAAGTAACCATATGGCCATAGCCGTTCTTGACTCCGACTCTTGATAGTAAAAATCATTTATTTATATTTTTCACCGTCCAATAGCAGGAGCCGTACATATCAAAGTGGCTTTACTTGTACTGTAGTCTGTATCATTGACTATGTAGCCAGTCGCGGCAATTCATATCTGATCTGAATTTGAAAAATAAAGTGAGTGAGACTCAAGTCAGCAGCAATGCATAGCATCATCCCGTCGCCCTGAAGCCGCTGGGACGTTGTAGAGAAAGATCAATGGCGTTTTTCTAATGTCAATGGTGGCGCTCATGGCTGCGTACACTGTGTTTTTAGTAACTTTATACGTGTGTGTGCGTGTGTGTGTGTGTGTACGTCCGCGTATTGGTTTAGCACAAGCTGCACACATGGATGTGCGCCCACTGGCTCCACTGATCTAGCAGGTTGTGGCGTTGGGCCCGCGCCAGTAGCTCTGGAACGGGTTGGAGTAGCAGCGCTCGTTCATCTTAGCGTACTGCGGAATGCTGCTGTAGTTCTGCAAGGTGAGCGTATAATCGCCCAACACCTGGCAGTAGGGAACGGCCGGGTCGTAGAGCGGCGAGGACTTGCACCGGGCCGGAAACCAGGCGGTCGTCTTGTTGTAGATGTCCACCTGGTATAGATCCTTGGGCGTCTGTTCGGTTGCCTGTATGCTGTCCAGGATAACGCCGGCGCTCTTCAGCATGCTGAAGATGAACACGTCGCAGACCATGCTCCGCTGGCCCTCGTAGCGATACGTGTCCAGCTCCGGCATCAGCGCCACATCGCCGAAGAGCACGTCACGCCGCAGCAGCTCCTCGTTGACGCACTCCAGTGTCTCGCACTTCGTGCCTAGCCGCTGGTTGAGGCCCTGAGTCAGCAGCGAGTAGACGGACATCTGTGACGTGCGGTTGTCGGCCAGCCGATCGGCGATGTTGGCGCCGGCGTGGAACAAGTAGGGTGTCACCGGGAACGGCAAGCTGTTCCAGAGCGTGTCGAAGAACGAGTAGATGAAGTTGTGGAAGCCGTACGGGTCGCCCTGTGTCGCGTTGAAGAACGCCCAGGCCTGGTCGACGTTGTTGCTGAACGTCTCACTGGCTTGGTCGTTGAGTCGCGTCAGCGCCAGCATGTACTTGGCTGCCGCGGCGAGTTTGAACCAGCGGCGGTACGGTGTGATGATCACACCGTACGGAGGCGGCCAGTAGACGGCACCGAACGGGTTTGCCGACGTCGACTCCATGACGAACGTTCCTCCGGTGCTGTTCTTGATGATAATGGTTGTATGGCCCGTATGGCTCCCCGTGCCCCAACCGATCAGCGGATCTAGGCCGTCCAGCTTCAGCACCTGCAGGATGTCGCCGCTCCGCACCTCCGACTCGTCCGGCACGATGGACGGTGGATCGTCGAAGCGGTGCATGGTGAAGTTGACGCGCTCACCCATGAAGCCCGCGTTTCGCTCCGCCACCACCTCATCGTCCGCACCGACAAACAGCTCGCTCGTGTTCAGCACGGATAGAACGGTGCCCACTGCTCCCAGCGGCCATACGTTAACGTGCATGCCGGACTGCTGCAGGAATGCAAACTCGTCCTTGGCCCAGGCCAGGATGGACATGTGAAACGTGGTCATTCCTCCACCACTGCTGACAGGGACTGGCTTGACCATGTGCACTTTGGGGTAGCCCAGCGAGCTGGAGAACGTCAACATCTCCTGGTCCAGGCCAACGCAGTCCGTGCGGTACGGGCTCGTGTGGTTCACCGTCACCATCAGCGTGCCGCCGGTCTCGTCCACCTCCTTGAACTCCGCCGTGTACTGTCGATAGCACGGGCTGGCAAACATGACCGCTGCGCCAGGCTTGGCCGGAATCGCGGCCAGCTCGCGCGGTATGAAGTCGAAGTAGCCCATGACCTTGTCCTGCAGCTGCAACAGCGGGTCGCCATCCTTCAGCGAACCAGACCTGAGCTGCTGCAGCTGGCCTCGGCCCAGCAGTAGGGCATCTCGCAGTACTCGCCAGTTAATGAGACGATTCGTCGGATAAGTCACAACTACCTGGTGTTCGAAGGAGCTGCCGTTGGACGCTTCCACGATCTTGGTGAATGAGTGATGGAAAAGCAACTGCTCGTGGCTGTAGCCGTCTTCAAGTAGCTGTGCGACTTCGGGCGGCTCTGGCATGGGACTGAAATCTGGAGGCGCAAAGCCCAGCTTCTCCTGTAGAAATTTCCACAGCCCGTCCAAGTCGTTGTTGGCCTGCGTAGACGATGCAGCGCCTACCACCACGAGCACCGCAAGCGCTATGCCCGTCGTAGCTCGCATCATCTTTTCCTCAGCTGTAAGAAGGCACGATACAGGATGTTCTTTGGCCGGGGAGAACGACCAGTGAAAAGAAAGTAGACGAGCATACTAGTATGCCGCAGTCCGCGATCCGATCCGGTTGATCTTGAATGAAGCCTGCAGGCCTGACTCATTATGATAATGTTACTGTTTCTTGAATTATTTTGGCGTTTGGCCTGGGTAATCCTGAATATTCATTTTTATTATAATATTTAGCGCAATAAATAATGCGAGCTGCGCACTCACAAACACCATGGCATAAATTAATGGCATACAATGTTATACGGAGGATTAGCAAGACGAAATTCGCGTTCGCGTTCGCAAACATTTTTCAGTTCGCGGGATTGCGAACTATTAACTAACTTATTCTTTCGCATTTTTCGTTCGGAAAAGTAGTCGGAACACGAATCGTGGATTCGTGTCAGGGCAGTCATAAATTTACCACGCTGTACTGCCTACGTCGTGTCAACATCATGCATGTGCGAATTCTGTTTGCTAATCCTTCTCATAACGCGAATTCCGTCACTGAGTTCGACTTTCTTTGGAGAGCGAACGCGAACGCGAATTTCGTCTTGCTAATCCTCCGTATTAGCAAATCTTGTTTTCATATTCCTTGAACGTTTTCGAGGCCATCTCATCAGGAGGATTACCATGATTACTGGCAAATCGAAGTCAATACAATAACTCCGTATAAATAAGCAGTCAGTGCAAGACTGCAAGTAGTAACTAATACTTAGACCCTATTTAGTGCGAGCAATGGGAGCTGAAAGAAATAATCATACCCATCAACAATATCAGGTTTGAAGAAGGGCTGAGGCTTCCTGCAGCTTCATCTGTGAAAAGAATTCGGGTGGACACACCCATTCCCATAGCGCTGCACATCACATCCGAACCAGTTCCGTTATTTTTACAACGTTTCGGCACTTGGCCATCGTCAGGTAATAACAATGAATACCGTGGAAGCCACACAAGAGCAGTATTATACGCAGAGTGTAGCGCCAAAAAAGATGCGAATTATGTCTCTCTGCCATTATGCCAATGATGGTGCTATACCGTACCCTCGCACTCGTGTTGCACTTTGCCACGTTACAACGACTCTGGCACCATGACAGCACGGCTTATACGTGTAAGGAGTAAAATTCACCAGGTGATTTCCTGTATTGTAAACGTGCCTAAAATAATAGTAAATATGCCTGGAGCATTAATTTTCAGCCAGCATCGTAAGGTTATGCTGACCGTCTGGTCTAATTTTTAGACAAAATCCGAAAATTATGCCAGAAATTATGCCAGCACAATCCGCCAATGGCTAATCGATAGGCACCCATGCAGTCTTGGGCATTTGTATGAGGGGTCCGAGGTTTGCGTCTCGCAACTTACCATGGGCCTAAAAGAATGAAAGACGTGGAACTATGTACATGTAGTACAGTACGGTACATGTACATGTACATCTACATCTACAATTATTTACAGTGACATTGTAGCTACAGGCAAAAGGAACAAAGGAGGTTTACAGAGTTCGTCGCAACTCGGAGTTTCTTGCACAATACAATCTGCTTACATGGGTGTTTAATCCTGACGCTTCTTCCTATGCGTCCAGGGCGCTCTTCCGGCAACATGAGGGCGCTAAGAGACTTCAATGTCAGGAGAGAGTAGTGAATGTTGAGCGTGGTGCCTTTGCACCTCTGGTGTTTTCCGTGAATGGGGCTGCTGCGCCGGCATCCACGGCCTTCCTCAGGCGCCTTTGCCTCCTTACATCTCTATCTTCGGGAGGTAGCTATTCATCGTTGATGGGTTATTATCGCTGTTGGGTGTCTTTCGCGCTGCTACGTTCCGCTGTGTTGTGTGTCAGGGGTGCTCGGTCGGCCCGTC